AAAAGTGATGATTAGGGCCATGGTTCTGAGGGCTTTAAAAGCAGAGAGAAGAGAGTCTCTCTTCCTCTCTCTGCTCTGCCATTTTCTGCAATGTGATACTCCTGAGTCCCTGAAGTCACCACCAAAGAAAGCCTTCACCAGATGTGTTCTCTGGACTTTGGACTTCCCAGCCTCAGAAACTCTAAGCAGTAAATTTCATTTTCTTATAAATCACCCGGTTTCACGTACTTTGTTATAAGCAACAGAAACGGANCAACCAGCCCCTGAGCTCTCTGACAGGTGCACCGAGGGGTAGGGTGTGTGATTCTCATTCTCCTTTTGCAGACAGACAGTAGAACCTAGCAGTTAAGTGTTAAGCCTGGATTCAAATCCCAGCTCCAAATCTAAGTTCTACCACTTATGGGCTTTATGTCTTTAGGGATGAACTGCTTTACTTCTCTAAACATCTGTTTCTTCAGTTGTAGAATCGAGACAATAATAGTTTCAATTCCACAGGCTACTTTTGTGTGCAATAAAACAGTGTAGCGGATTGAATTGTGTCCCCCCAAAACTTGCTGAAGCTTGAATTGTGTCCCCCACGTTTTATGTAATAGAAACTTGGTCCCTACTGTAACTGTTGAGGGTGGGAAATCCTATTATCGTAATCGAAAGGCAGTGCCTTGAAGGGGTGATTAGATTGTAGGACCAGGCCATAGTGAAAGGATTAAAAGTGATGATTAGGGCCATGGTTCTGAGGGCTTTAAAAGCAGAGAGAAGAGAGTCTCTCTTCCTCTCTCTGCTCTGCCATTTTCTGCAATGTGATACTCCTGAGTCCCTGAAGTCACCACCAAAGAAAGCCTTCACCAGATGTGTTCTCTGGACTTTGGACTTCCCAGCCTCAGAAACTCTAAGCAGTAAATTTCATTTTCTTATAAATCACCCGGTTTCACGTACTTTGTTATAAGCAACAGAAACGGACTAATACAAACAGCTAACATTCCTTGAGCCTTTAATTTGTACCAGTAAATGTATCATAATAATGTCTTATGTGTGTTAAATGCATTATAGTAATGTATTGATTCATTTAGCCCCCACGATGGCATGCATATCGCTTATATGCATATTCCTAAAGCCCTTAGCACAATGCCCAGGAAGTAAATGTTAGCTTATAGTGTGACACCCACTCCACAGTGCCTCATGGTCATATTATAGCATGTGATCACAGCCCCCTCCACCTCAGCAAAGTCACCATGTCTGCAGTTAGTCCTCACACACAGCTCCTGTTCAGCAGCCCCAGTTCTCTCGGCTCCTACTGTACCTCTTTGTCACTTTGGCTGCCTTTTTCTATCTCCCCCAACTCTCCTTGGTTTTGTTGAGATTCACCAAACCTGAGCCCAGGGCCCTAGATTCCTGTGCACACAGATTCCATGGGTTCAAATTCAGGCAATCAGGAGGCAACATGACACAGAAAATCCTCCTCTGGACTTTGGTTCTAACACTAGCTCATCCATTTACTACCTGTGTGGCCTTGGACAAGTCACCAGTGACTCAGCTTCTCTGAGCCTCAGTTGTACTCATCTCACAGGGCTAGCGTGAGGATGTCCTACGCTCTGTAGAGTACTTAGAGCTGCCCACTGCAGGTGCTCAGCCGATGCCAGTTCTTTCCCCACTTCTTCCTGCCTCCTTTTGTCCTGCCTCCCTTTCTAGGGCACTTTATTGATTTTTTAATCTAAGTTAGTATCTTGTACCAAAACCTTTAGGAAACAGCTCCCCGTTGCCTGCAGTCCCCTTCCAAAGTAGTAACTAATGCTTAGAGAC